AAGGAAGGCAGGAAGGCAGGAAGGCAGGAAGGCAGGAAGGAAGGAAGGAAGGAAGGCAGGAAGGAAGGAAGGAAGGAAGGAAGGAAGGAAGGAAGGAAGGAAGGAAGGAAGGAAGGAAGGAAGGAAGGAAGGAAGGAAGGAAGGAAGGAAGGAAGGAAGGAAGGAAGGAAGGAAGGAAGGAAGGAAGGAAGGAAGGAAGGAAGGCAGGAAGGCAGGAAGGAAGGAAGGAAGGAAGGAAGGAAGGAAGGAAGGAAGGAAGGAAGGAAGGAAGGAAGGAAGGAAGGAAGGAAGGAAGGAAGGAAGGAAGGAAGGAAGGAAGGAAGGAAGGAAGGAAGGAAGGAAGGAAGGAAGGAAGGAAGGAAGGAAGGAAGGAAGGAAGGAAGGAAGGAAGGAAGGAAGGAAGGAAGGAAGGAAGGAAGGAAGGAAGGAAGGAAGGAAGGAAGGAAGGAAGGAAGGAAGGAAGGAAGGAAGGAAGGAAGGAAGGAAGGAAGGAAGGAAGGAAGGAAGGAAGGAAGGAAGGAAGGAAGGAAGGAAGGAAGGAAGGAAGGAAGGAAGGAAGGAAGGAAGGAAGGAAGGAAGGAAGGAAGGAAGGAAGGAAGGAAGGAAGGAAGGAAGGAAGGAAGGAAGGAAGGAAGGAAGGAAGGAAGGAAGGAAGGAAGGAAGGAAGGAAGGAAGGAAGGAAGGAAGGAAGGAAGGAAGGAAGGAAGGAAGGAAGGAAGGAAGGAAGGAAGGAAGGAAGGAAGGAAGGAAGGAAGGAAGGAAGGAAGGAAGGAAGGAAGGAAGGAAGGAAGGAAGGAAGGAAGGAAGGAAGGAAGGAAGGAAGGAAGGAAGGAAGGAAGGAAGGGAGGAAGGGAGGAAGGGAGGGAGGGAGGGAGGGAGGGAGGGAGGGAGGGAGGGAGGGAGGGAGGGAGGGAGGGAGGGAGGGAGGGAGGGAGGGAGGGAGGGAGGGAGGGAGGGAGGGAGGGAGGGAGGGAGGGAGGGAGGGAGGGAGGGAGGGAGGGAGGGAGGGAGGGAGGGAGGGAGGGAGGGAGGGAGGGAGGGAGGGAGGGAGGGAGGGAGGGAGGGAGGGAGGGAGGGAGGGAGGGAGGGAGGGAGGGAGGGAGGGAGGGAGGGAGGGAGGGAGGGAGGGAGGGAGGGAGGGAGGGAGGGAGGGAGGGAGGGAGGGAGGAAAGGCTTCTGCTACCAGAAATTCATACAATTCTCCTGTTTTTTCTCTCACTCCTACTGAAATCTGAGCACAAAAATCTGCACACAGACAATTCTCTCAAAATAACAGAAATTAGGGTCATTATAATTTGATATTATCTTGTGAGTTTGTTTTCTCAGTGGAGGACCATATCAGATTTAAGGAGTTTATTTCTATAAATGCCACTGAAGGAAAAAACAACAACAACAACAACAACAACAACAAAAAACTAAAACTGTTTGGAAATTCTCAAAATAAATCCTCAGAGCAGCGTTAGTGTCAAGAGGGAAAGGACTTACAACTCATCTGCCAAATGCTGTGTGAACTTCCGTTCACTAAACTTCTCACTCCAGACAAGACTGATGTTGTTCCTTTTTTTTTTTTTTTTCCTAGTAGGACCCAGTTGTCAAATCTTGTTTGTATATGTGTCAGACACAACAGCAACGGGTTGTGAGAGAAAATAATACTCACTTGCCAAACAACAGTACAATCGGTTCAGTAACTGCACACTTAAATTAACAACTGCATTAGTTTATAGTCTTAGTTTGAAGGAAATACTCTCCATCCTTTTATGAGGCTGATCATTTGTATTTTAACTGATGTGGTCCTCTTTTGGAAGATGAGGAGGTTGATGTTACATGTTTCAATGAAACAAACTCTGTGTTCAAAGCACACAGTTTAAGGAATTATGACCCAGTGCTGTGGGTGGATTCTGCAGTTCCTCCATTGCTGAACTCAATCACACCACTTACACTACTCAGTAGCTCTCAGTGCATAAGAGTATCTGGTCTCTGCACCAGACTTTAAATTATAAATAATGTAAAAAAATAAAGAAGGTTTTTGGTAAAGGTTGCAATATCTTTCATTGTTTTGCATATGCCTTACAAGAATCTAATTTTTAGAAAATAGTAGTTTTCAGAGCTGGATGAATCAACAGAATTCTTAAAATAACAGATACATACCAGACCTGATTTTGCTGACAACACAAGCTGCCCCTGTAAACTTGAAGCTGGGATACAGACTGTAAACCAGGGAAAGATCTGTAAGGTTATCTCATTGTATGAAAAAGTTAACCCTTACCTTTGCTATGAACTGCACAGCATAATACTGTTACATAATATGTCATTCAGATGTTGGCATTACATTAAATTTTAGTACTGGAGAAAATCCATGTTATCATCTGATTACTCAGAAAGCACATGAAAGCAGACTTTCTGTAATTTAATTTTTCCTTCCAAATATAATCCAGTCACTGTTTAGTGATGGACAAGAAGTAGACATCTGGTCCTTAACTTCATTATTCTTGGGGCTTGTTTAGACTGAGGAATCAGCATTTTCAAAAGGGAAAGCTCCCTTTCTCCTATGACCTTCCCACCCTTCCAGGATTAAACCACTGCAAATAGAATTAAAGTCAGGCCAGTAGCACGCATGGGGTTTCTCCAGCCGTTATTTGCTTTGTGTTTATTTTCTGTGTGATGCCATCTCTGAACACCCTCACCGCTTGCAGAAACCACTACTAAATTCTTGACTTCCTGCAGCAAAGGATCCACAGGGCAGGAGCAATTCACCCCACTTCTTCCCTGCATCACTGTTTGCCACTGGGAAAGCAGGACACTTGACTGACCGGGCACATTCCCCACTTCTCTTAACCCTTCCTCAGGGGTTGAATGAACCTGGTCAAAACAGGCATCAGTTTGCTGAGGAGCAAACAGGTATCTGCTGCTGTTTGGCAAGCTCCTGTCTGTCAGCACCTGGCTGGAGTCCTCACCTGGTCCCTTAACTCCCAATTTTAACCCTTTCCCCTCCATGCCTGTCACCTCTCCCCTGCTCTCAAATTGGATCTGGACTTCCCCTTCCAACTTGTGCTCTTTCCCCTGCTTGCTCAGCTCCTGGGCTGCTGGGATGATTTTTCAATCACCCATGCCTTCTTTCGGGAAGGATTGAAGCTGGTGATGGAGAAGGAAGACAGGAGGGGAAGAAGGTGCAGGAAAGTGAGGAATGGGGGGAAACAGGGGCAGAGAGGAAAGGAGGTAAGGAAGCAGGGCAGGGAGGACAGTAGACAGAGAAGTCAGAAAACAGGAAGGCAAGAAGGAGAGAAGCAGGGCAAGGAAGACTGGAGGCAGAAGAAGCAGGACTGATAGGAGGCAGGAAGCAGGAAGCAGGGCAGGGAGGAGAGTCAAGGGAGGCAGGGGAAGCAGAGAAGGAAGGGGAGGTAAGAGAAGCAGGGCAGGCAGGCAGGGGAAGTAGGACAGGAAGGTAAGGCAAGGATCAGGGCAAGGAAGAGAGGCAGAGCAATCAGAGAGCAGGGGAAGGAGTCAAGGAGACAAAGAGCAGTGAGGTAGGACAGGCAAGAAAAGCAGCCAAGAGAGGCAGGGAGCAAGATAAGGAGGGAATGAACAGGCCAGGTAAGAGGCAGAGGAGGCAGAGAGAAGGGCAGGCAGGGAGTGGGAAGTCAGGGCAGGCAGGGAAGTCAAGCAGTGGAGGCAGGAGATGTGAAGGCAGGGGACATGGAAGCAGTGAACAGGAAGAGGTAGGCAAGGCCAGCAGGACAATCAGGAGGCAGAGAAACAGAGGCAGAACAGGCAGGAGAGGCAGGGAGTAGGAGGTAGGGCAGGCAGGAGGTAGGTTAGGGAAGAGCAGACAGCAGGCAGGGAGAAGGGCAGGCAGGGAGCAGGGCAGGCAGGGCAGGCAGGAGGCAAGGCAGGCAGAGCAAGCAGCAGGCAGGGAGCAGACAGGGCAGGCAGCAGGCATGGAGCAGGGCAGGCAGGGAGCAGACAGGGCAGGCAGCAGGCATGGAGCAGGGCAGGCAGGGAGCCAGCAGGGATCCAGACAGGCAGGGAGAAGGACAGGCACAAGGCAGGGAGCAGGACAGGCAGGGAGCAGGAAGTGCAGGACAGGCAGGGAATAGGCAGGAGGCAGGCAGGCAGGACAGGCAGCAGGCAGGGAGGAGGCAGACAGGACAGGGAGTGGGCAGAGAGAAGGCAGAGAACAAACAAACAGGGATCAGGCAGGCAGAGAGCAGGCAGGGCAGGCAGATGGCCAGTCAGGAGGCAGGCAGGACAGGCAGGGCAAGCAGGGAGCAGGGCAGGCACGGCAGGCAGGGAGGAGAGGGCATGGCAGGCAGGGCAGGCAGGTGGCCCGGCAGGGAGCAAGCAGGGCAAGCAGGGATCAGGCAGGGATCTGGCAGGGCAGGGATCTGGCAGGGCAGGGAGCAGGCAGGGCAGGGAGCAGGCAGGGCAGGACAAGTCAGGGGAGGGAAGGGAAGGGAAGGGAAGGGAAGGGAAGGGAAGGGAAGGGAAGGGAAGGGAAGGGAAGGGAAGGGAAGGGAAGGGAAGGGAAGGGAAGGGAAGGGAAGGGAAGGGAAGGGAAGGGAAGGGAAGGGAAGGGAAGGGAAGGGAAGGGAAGGGAAGGGAAGGGAAGGGAAGGGAAGGGAAGGGAAGGGAAGGGAAGGGAAGGGAAGGGAAGGGAAGGGAAGGGAAGGGAAGGGAAGGGAAGGGAAGGGAAGGGAAGGGAAGGGAAGGGAAGGGAAGGGAAGGGAAGGGAAGGGAAGGGAAGGGAAGGGAAGGGAAGGGAAGGGAAGGGAAGGGAAGGGAAGGGAAGGGAAGGGAAGGGAAGGGAAGGGAAGGGAAGGGAAGGGAAGGGAAGGGAAGGGAAGGGAAGGGAGCGGCCCCTTCCCGCAGCGCGGCGGGCTGCGGCCGGAGCTGTCCGCCCGGCGGTGCTGAAACGCCGCAGCCCGGGCCCGGCGGCGCGGGGGAGGGACGGGGAGCGCCGAGAGCCGCCCTGCTGCAAACCGAGAAAAGACAAATCCAAATACCTGCACAGCGCCAGGCAGCCTGCCGTGGGGCGGCGGGGGGCTGCGTGGGATGGTTTTTTTCCCCCCCCGTAGGTGTCCTTGCTTGGGCGAGAAAGATCTCCCGGCTCCCAGGTTCAGGCTCAGATCTCTCTAGAAAACTGTGAATGAGCGAGCTCCAGCTCCACGGGGCTAGGATTTTTAATTTTTTTTTTTTTTTTTTTTTTTTTTTTTTTTTTTTTTTTTTTTTTTTTGGTAGGAGGCGTGTGCACCAAAGCCTGGGTCCTTCCACTCGGCGGCTGTCGTCCCCCTGGGTCCTAAGCCCTCCTGCCGCCCGCCCGGCTGCCTCCCGGCGCTCCCGGGCTGTGGGCTCGGCGCACCGCCACTGCCGAGGGAGTGGTGACAATGAGCTGCGGGCTGCTGACAGCCGGGAAAGCAGCAGCCCACCCGGCCACTGCGAGCTTAGCAGCGCGGGCTTTCACCTGGTGCCACGGTCTTCACCGCCTCTCTTCTCGCATCACCCCTTTCCCGGCAAAACTCGGGGGGAGCGCAACCTCCTGCGGCATTTACAGCAGCCACAGAAAGGGTAACCTTAATGGGCCATGAATTATGGGTGGGCTGCCTTAATGAACATGACAGCATGGGTTCGTAAGAGAAGTTCATCTGGGTCAGACTACACGTAAATCTAGCTCAAGGTGCTGTCACCACCAGCAGACACAGAGAATGTCCAGTGAAGAACATAAGAGCAGGACAAGCTTCATCCTTGAACTCTCACAGCCCCTCTCCCAACCATTTTAAGTTCAGGGATTTCCCCAGAAATGTGGTGCCTGTGTTTTTAGGAGGAAGTTGTCCTGCTTCAACTTTCAAAGTGTCTCCTAGAACATCTATACTTTTCTAGAACATCCTTCCATAATGTCCTTTGACAAGGAGGTCCTCAGGCCATCTGCCTGCTTCACAAACTAACACTTCTCTTTCATTATAGGGGTCTGTAAGCTTTAGCTGGCATTGTAGAAAGGACAGGAGGGGGGAACATCTCTCATTAAATTAGTCCTGAAAATCACTATCTGTATGAGTCTCGTAAGACATGTGCTAAGCTGTACTTGGATGACTTTGGGTGACCTAATGGCCTTGGCAACCAAATTTACACTCAAGTGCTCTTATCAGTAAGCTCAAATAAATATACTAGCAAAGTATCTTCTGCTACTCCTGTATATTGTGGAGAATAATTGCTGGGAAGTGGTGGATTAAAGGTGACTCGGTCTCTTTGCTTTGGACATCTCTGTTGGGTCAGTTACTGAAGGATCTTATATAGTGAAGAACTGGGTGATAATTTATAAGGGTGGGGAACAACTTCTGCATAAGAAATGTTTAAACAGGATAGGATTCTTCCCATGGCAAAAAAAAGACATGCGTAAGTGTAGGTAAAACAGCGGTGGGGTTTTTTTCATCATTTATGATATTTCATAATAATAAGCAGCATGTGGAAGATAAATTGGAACAGTATCTCAATATCATTTCCAGTTCAAGAAGTAGGAGAAATGAAACCCAATAAGGGCTAGCTTTGTATCAAACCAAAGAACATACTTCTTCACAAAATATTAGTGTAGTTGTAGAACTCAATTCCACAGGAATTCGGGCTTCAGAAAACTGTTGGACATATCCGTGGAAGAAAAATCCATGAAGGGATTTTAAATATGAAGTCATGACCTCTGGCTCAGGAATTCCCTGTTCCACAAATTGCTGAGGGCTGGGGTAATATTTGGGAAAGAATGACTATATCCCCGCCCTGCTCTTATTCTTTGCCCTAATCATCCACTGCTGATCACTGCTGGAGATAGGCACCAGGCTAGATGGACCTTTGATCTGACCCAGTATTGTCTGCTCTTATATTCTTATGTACAAAGTAGACTTTCAGAATGTGAACACAACAGGAGCACTTTCAGCTTTGCTTTCCCTTGAAAGGGGAAGAGCCAGTGGTTTTGTTCTGTTTGAAAGAGTGTACAACCAGTCACCTGCTTTTTAGAGAAAACCCCACAATATTCATGAGCAAAGGCAAAAGAAATCTGTGGGGAAGATGCCTTGTGCTTTTAGAATGACTTCCATTCATAACCATTAATTTAACCCACAGCATGTTCAGAACTGGAATACTAGGTATTTGCATCCTGTGACCCAATCACACTGACTGGAAGAGATGAAGCAACAGCTCAAAGACAGAGAGCTCAAAACTCTCACAAGAGCATTTGTCCCAGAACTTGATGGGAGAGCATTTCTAGCCCCAGGGAAGTTAGTAGTCAGTTAGTAAGTAGTCTCATTGGATCATTATTTTCTACATAGAGATCAATTTGGAAATAAAACAATAAGCACTTTGTTTTCATAATCCTGTTGCAAGCTTCCACTCTGGCACATATGATAAAGATTAATGTACTAGCTACTGTAACTATGCAGTACTTCCTTGGGAATTGTTAATAATATTAAGTGGAATGAATATGACTCTATAAACCAACTGCCTTAGGCATTCAAATCCATTGCCAAATTTGTCGTATGCTTAATATTAAGGGATTTAATAGTTTTATTTGGTTTGTTAATTGAGGTTGTTTTTTTCCCCGTTAGTGTTGCTGCTAGGTGACCAGTGCCTGCTGGTCCAATGGATGATTGGCATGTAGTGCAATGCTACAGTAGAAGCAAATCTCTAAACATATTACCTCAGGGTCTTATATTGATCCTTCTATAATTAGTCTCAGGTTTCTTTCTCATCATCACTTCATCACTTCCTTTCAGGAAAGTCCACTCTATACTCTCAGAGCATGTTTCAGGTCTTCTCATTCTTTGCATTGTCCCAGTCATTACACTACAACTACTGTTATGACCTCAGGAACAACAGTGCTGAAGGTATAAAACCTGCAGTTTCATAAAGGTATGTCTGGGACCTTAGGAACAACCTTGTTGATGTGCACAGGCTGGAGCTGCATCCCTTTCTCATTTGCAGTGTTAAGTATGCAGAGCTAAGGAGAGAAAAATGTGCCTGTAATCACAGTTTGTCACTGAAGGCATTAGAACTGACTGAACACGCAGAGGGAACAGATCAGTTTGGAAGGGGGAGGTTATTTTATGCAGCCTTTTCTGAAAGTAAAACAAAACTCTGATATTAAATTGAATCATTCCTGGCCTTCCCTGTCATCACACTTATTGATTCTCTGTTTTAATTAAGAGCAGAAAAATAACAAACTTGGAGAGACAATGTATATTCTCACCACCAATAGAAAGAATCCATGTGCGTGAACTATAAAGGAAGTAATGGAAGGGAAGAGTGGCCATTTGCTCTGTGGTCTAGGTATGATAAATAGTATCTACTGAATCTACTCTCTTTGCATCAATTTTGTCCTCATTCAGTGACATTAAACACATAGCAAGAGGCTGTGCCAGGAATCTAGAAACTAGTTTGCACATTTTTGCAGCTCTGATATTACTTTCTCATTCATACAAAGCCCCAAATCACTGAAATAATTTAATTCATGGCAGTAAGGAATAGATTTTTTTTTAATCCTAGAAAAAATCCAAAAAAGCAGAAAACTGCTCTCACTCTGCTTTCAGACTGAAGCACAGGTATGTATCTCCATTACACAAAAACATATTGACATTCAGCATCTTATAGGGTTAGTGTTTGTGAATGACGTGCATATATAAGGAGTGGAACAAATCTTTGGTGTAATTCAGTATATATCTAGTGTCTTTTACTTTTTCAACGAGATTTTCCCAATATTAGAAATGTTCTTTACAGCTTGTGAGTAGAAAATTTGAAAAATAATGCAATATAGGGTGCCCTTGTAGCTTTAAATTTTCTTTTATGAACGGTTTTCTGAAAGTTTCTAAAATTAACAGTCAATTTTAATAATTAATTAGTAGCTTGTTCTTTTTCCCTAATCTACAATTACCATCTGGTTTTATTTCCTTTGAAAGTAACTGCATTGAAAGCCCCAGTAGATTAAAAAATAATACTGCTTAAACTGGTTAGACCCAATAAATCACTATTCTTAAGGGAGGAGTAACTCTTAGATCACAGTTCAGAGGGATTCACATTATAAATCCTCCCAGGTTTCCTGAACCTTTAAAATATTTAAAAATTTATACCCAAGAATGCAAAACATATGCAAATGGATTGTTTGTATGATTTATTTAACGAGAAGGATCCAGGTTTTGCCATTTTTACTCCTGATGGAAAGAATTCACTCTTTTGCTGAGTTCACATGCCATTGCCACTTCTGCCACTCTCAGAAGAGTGTGTAACTGGGACACGAACAAAGTTTTGACCTTGAGCAAGAAGAGGGTTGAAGCTGAAACAGTCCCAACCGCATGGGAATTCCAGGAGCTGGTGGGGAGATGCAGCGCAGAGCTGGAGGCCAGCAGCAGAAGTCAGGCAAAGTCAAGCTCTCAGAACTGCGATCCAGAATTGGCCCCCTCAGCTCTTGCCTAACTCTGAATCAGTCTAAACTCCACAGCTGCCTTATTTTGGGATTGTGAAGCTCCTGGTGTAGATCCAGGCTAAGTAGCTTGGTACCAAAGATCAATTAGCATTCAAAAAACTATAAATGTCTCTCTGACAGCCCAATCATTTGTGTGTTGGAAATGCTGGCTTTAGGCCCAGATGTGCTGTATAAGTCAGGTGCAGATTTGGAGTCCTGTCTTTAGTCAGCTTAACTTGGCAGCAAGGACTCTGATGACTTTAGTGAGATACCTGTGATTTAAATCACCTGGGGATCTCTTCCTACTGAGTTCAATTCCTCACAAAACCAGTGCTACTCTGTTTAAACAATAATGGCACTGTCTTGCTAAACCATTAAGTGTCCTTTTGCAGAGGGAAATATATTATGAGATGTCATGTTTTACATAGCTAGTACCTAAATGATATAACCTTTAAAGAATAGCATGGCAGAACTTAGCCTTACTGCCTAAGAAAGTGAATATCAGAGATAATGTTCTTCCTAATCCAGGAACAAGACAACCTAAAGTAGGCAGGCACGACAAAAAAAAAAAAAAACTCACAGGGAGGCAAACGGTCCAGAAAGCAGATGAGTCCAGCAAGAAGGTTTAGGATGGCTGTTGCAGAATTAATTCAGACAAATCCTCCTGGGAAAAACCTAGCTGCTTTCTGGTGCCTTACTACATTGGGATCAGTTTGCACATAACAAACACTTCAGTCTGAATTCTAATATACTGATCTCAGACATGATTTGTTAAAAGCTTAAAACATGTATGCTGTTTAATGTT